GGTTGCATGCAAAATGTCTATCTCAAGCAGAGAGAATTACTCTCACCCAATCTAACTGGCTCCAATCTCTTTCTTTCAAACGCAGTGTGACAAAATTCCCCTTTCAGTGTGTCATGAATTGGAAAAACTTCAGAACGTTTCATTTAGGTGGATACAGAGGAAAAAAAGAGAATGCATCTTGTTGGCTGGGAAACTCTTACAAAGACAAAGGAAGCTAGAGGTTTGGGGTTGAAAAAAATTACTCTAATGAATGAGGCTTTTGCGGGGAAGATTGCTTGGGCTGTATTCAGTCAAACGGATGAACTTTGGATGCAATTTCTTCATGCTAAGTATGGAGGGCAGAGAGTGGGTTCAGATATATTTAAAACTAGAGATGGTGACTCAAGGTTTTGGAAATTCATTTGTTTCGTGTGGAATAAATTAGAAAACTATCTAATATGGGAGATTGGTGATTTGGAACAACATTAATTTTTGGAAAGACAAATGGATTCAAAGTGTTGGTAGGCTGATGGATAAAACTTCAAAACCGATTCCTTGGGAAGAATTTGGAAATATATTAATGGATTATTTAGACAGCCATGGACAATGGGATGTGAATAACCTATCAAGGTGACTCCCAAATGATTTATTGCTCCATATTTGAAGCATTTTACTGCCCGATCCTTATGATGGAATTAACCATATGCATTAGAATCTAAAGGATGCATCAAAAGTCTCTGTCAAGGGTATCTATGAAATTCTATCTGAAAGAACAGAAGGTCAGCAGGAAAATTCAACTCTTTGAAGGAAAATATAGAAATGGAAAGGCCTTCATGTCATCAGGGTATTTCTTTGGAAAATGCTTCATAATAAGCTTCCAACAAAAAATCATCTTAGCTCTTTCAACATTGGGTCACCAACTTGCCCAATCTGTTGGGATCATAGTGAGACTTGCATTCATCTATCAAGAGATTATAGATATATTCTTGGAGTGTGGACAACTTTGGTTCCAAGTAACATGCATAATTTCTTTTTTTATGGTCCCAAGTAACATGCATAATTTCTTTTTTTTTTGTTAACCTGTGGGAGTGGATATAGCTTAATATGTCACAGGTAAACAATGTTAGAGATAACATTCCTTGGTGCACTATATTTATCACTACTTGTTGGCTTGCCTGGAAGTGAAGAAATGAGAGGATCCATGATGCCTCAACCCCAACTAATAACCAGCAATACAAAGCAAAGGTGAGGGAAATTCAGGATGCCTTTGACAGGTTTAGCAACATTCATCCAGATTTGACCAATTTGGATGCTTTGGTTTTCCACCAAAAGATAATTGGATAAAAATGAATACTGATGAAGCAACAAAAGGTATTCAAGGCTTGCCAGCTTGTGATGATGTACTCAGAAATGCAGCTGGTCAAAGGATAAAAAGATTTGCTTATAGGATTGGGAGATGCAACGCCCTAATTGCTAAACTTTGGGGTATTTTAAAAGGGTTGGAATTGGCTTGAGAAGATGGATGGAGAAACATAATAGTAGAAAATGATTCTAAATCAGCAATTGCTTTGCTCACCAAAAATGGTGACGGAGTCCGCGAGACACATTTGGTTTCTCGAATACAGGCATGGATTAGAAAGGATTGGAGAGTTCATCTAGGTCACACTTATAGAGAAGGAAACTTTTGCGCGGATTGGCTTCGAAATTTCCCTTTAGTGAATGTTAACTCTAAAGATATGTCTATTTTTAATTCCCCTCCCCCTGGAATTGGTCTTTTTTTATACAGACTTAGCTTCTTTTTGTAGAACTCGTCATATTTCTATTATATAGTTTGTGTTGTGGGTCTTTTTCCTCAGTTTACCAATTTTTTTTTTTTTTGAGAAAAACTCTATAATAATCATCCTTTAAGTTTTACTTCAGAGTGTGGGTGAGCATTCAAGAGAAAAAGCACATTTCACTATTATGAATATTTCTTCTTAAGACGCATTCAAAATAATTTGGCAACCAAGGTATAAACAAATTCATTGAGTCCACCTCTTAGGTTTGATTTTTACCTATTTGCTTACTGATTAGAAGCATGCAAGGTAAGTCTTTTATATTATTCTTGCTTTAGCTATTGTTGAGGTAGGTAATATGAGAGCAATTATCCAGTGATAATTGAGGTTTTATATTTTTGACTTAGAGTGTCACAACCCGAATCTGAGTCATGACTGGCGCACAGGCTAAGGTAACCCAAACACCCCTAGCTTGGCAAGCCTATCTTCCACAAAGAATGTCTCATAAAAGAAGAAAATTCCAACAAATTCATATTCTAAATTTTACTGAAATTGTGACAGAGTCTCCTTTGTATTTTTAACATCTGAAAACAAATCCAACACCTGATATGCAAGGTATACAACATCAACCAACAACATCAATAATAAAATATACAATCCAGATATTAGAAACTTAAAACAATCTAAAATATATCACTAACAGATTTTCCATAGCTACAGCATGCTCAGAACTCCAAAATAAATCAAAGACTACCTATCTAAGTGCGGACCATCCAAATAAAGCTACAAGATGAGCTACGACTCCTAGCAACTTATTATCAAGCTGCCTGACAATTCTGGTGGAAAAATAAAGGGGGATTCACACACACACACTCAACGTTGGCATAATAATCACAATGAACAAGAAGGGAAAACATAATACGCACGAGTGATTTTCTCTTTTTATGCATATGAGTTATAAACATGCTAGGACAATTGAAATACATAATATGAATAAAATCAATAAAACATGCATTTACAAAAAAAGAAATAAAAAGTTCACAAAGTAATGTAAATGTCATTTACAAAACAAGAAAATAAAATAAATAAAAACCATAATTTAATAACGTAGGGATCACTCATGAGATAATCAAGTCTAAGGAGGCCTTACCACGTTGATAGTCCTTTCCTCCCGCGGGTGGACTTTCCCCTAGGGGTGACTCCATCTAACGGGAAGCCATCTCCTTTCTCAATTCAGGTCAAATCATAATATCTCATCGTTGGCAGCTCCATCTTGCTAATAGCCCTCTCCTCCAAAGTGTGACATTTCCCTTGAGGTGGTTCCATCTAACAGATAGCCCTCTCCTCCTGGAATAAAATATCCATATATCAAACTAGATGCACCTAGACAAGTACTCCCACTAACGGCTATGGGATTCGACAATGGATCTCAAAAACATATATAATTTTTTTAACAAATCAACTTTTGGTTTGAATCAATCTATTTCTAATGATAAATAAATTTATTGAATCTCATACTTTTAAATAAAATTTCTCATATTCAATTTTGTATCTAACATTTCAAAATAATATTCAATATCACAAATCATAAACACGATGCTTTTATGTAAAAATAACCATAACATGTGAATTTGGAACATGAGAATTTAACCAATCACAATATAAAATATTTATTTCCCCATGGATATATTGAACAATAATTATATAACTAAATTTAAAAAAATAATAATGGTAAAGTATGTCATCATAATCATTATCCACTCACAGTGCTGAGGAACCAACTAAAGCACTTCCAATGACTCTGGATAAGCAAATGAGCTATGTTTTAGCCAAATTTGAGCATCAGAAATATTTTAACAATGACTTAGAAATTATTTAATAGTAAAATAACAATGAATAATACAGAGATAGGTAAACATCCTAAATTTATACTCAAAGCTCTAGAATACATTTACTCTAAACAAATCTATGTAAAAACATTGTATCCAAAAAAAAAAAATCTATGTAAAAACATAGATTTCTTTTAAATTTGGAATGATGGGTATATCTAAAAAGAGCTAAAAAAAAACAAATTTTTAAGGAATGAGTTGCACCTCATTTCTCTTATAGCACCTTCCTCAACTCACCCCCAAAATAATACCTCCAAGAGAAAATAAATGGATAATCCTTAAACTTTCTTCATACTTTCAAAATGGTGTCTAAAGTTTGGTGGGAGAGGAAACAAATGAAAAGAAAAGAAACAAGAAAAGAAGAAGAAGCAAGAATAGAGAAGAAATGGAGAAGAGAGGGTGGAATATTGCTTTCTTACACTGAAAACATCAAAATTTTGGGTGATAAGATTTTGTTTTAAATTATTATTTTACCCCTCAATTTTGGATAAGAATTTTTTTTTAAATTATTATTTTACCCCTCAATTTGGAGTTAAGCTAAAAATGTATTTAACAATTATCAGGGGTTTAACAATGGGGACGCAATTTACTATGGTAAATTGAAGTGCCTAAATCTAGAGGTAGATTTGGGTGAATTCTTATGTAAGTGTGTAATATACTCTATTCTTATACTTTGAATTAAGCTTGGCTCATAATAATAGGTTTGTCTCCCAATTGAACAGAGGTATTTATATTGGAATCATGAGTTTTTCCCCCTTCTTTTGGAGTTTTTCCCATGTAATTATTTATATTGTCTCTTTGTTATTTTCTTTATTAGTCAAAAATATTATTAAAAATTTAGTATTGATTTAAATTTCTAAATTTTCTTATATAGATCAATTCACCCCTCTTCTCAAGACAACACTATCTTAGATATTTCACAATACAATTTCTAATGGTAATGTAAAATTTTTATATTTTTATATTTTTATATTTTTTTATTAATGATAATTGAATCACTATTTAATGCACGTGGAGACAGTTAGACATAGACAAAGATAGATACACAAATTTCACAAATTAATTATCCACTTCAGTGTCAGGAATACGCTTCTCATTTTCATTGGATATTACGTGGTGCAACTCACTCCTAAGTCCAGGTGTCGAGTTATTAAATTTTGCATGAGAGCGTGTAATCCATTCACCACCTTCACTTCAGCTTTCTTTTTCTCTCTACACGATATACCAATAAAAGATTCGTTTTGCTCATATAATTTTTTCTTTTCCTTTTAAGAATCCCTTTCTGTTAATCTGAACCTACCCACAACTTTAATTTTTCTTTTTAAGCTCTTTCTCTTGGAGTTCTTGGATTTTCACATCCAAATGAGTGCTGTGATCAACAATGGCAGCACAAGTGAAGAGCTTTGACCTTGATTCTCATTCCAAGACTGTTTCCAAGAACACTTCACCACAGTATGTTACTCTTCTCCGCTCCTTCATTTGTCTGTTCTTTCAATTGGTTTGTGTTGGTGTGATGTATGTAGTAGTTCTTGAATTCCCAATGGTTATGTGTTGCTGTTCCATTTCTAATGCGTGATTGAAGATTAAAAGAGAGATTAATTGAGAATTGAAGATTGAAGATTAAGAATTTATTGCACTTGTATGAGCAATTGCTGTGAAGAAATCAATTTCTGTCTGAACAATTGACAATCATTACAGTAATCTGGTGCACCTGTGTTGACGACTAATGCAAACTATTAGACCCAAATCCTAAATTAATGTTTCATTCATCTAGGTAGTGGTTATTTCTCGCTTTAATTGAAAGCCTGACAACATATATTTGTTGATTTTGATTTTTGACAACGATCTTGAAAGTTAAGTTGTGGGTTTGGTTAATTAAAATCAAAATCACATGGATTGATCAACTGTTTTTAATTGATTTGGGTTGTCTCAGTTTCTTAAGAACTGGATAATCTCATGGTATCTGTGTAAAATTGGTTGTCCCATGCAGAAGTATTGTACGTTACTTCCCAATAAAATGTGTTATTTTCTTTCACCAAAAAAAAATAAAAAATGTGTTATTTTCTATCTTATTGAAAGTCCCAATTCCATTTTTAATCACCCCGATAGTAGTAAAGATGGAAGCAAATTCTCTCTTGTTTTGTTTCTTTCTTTTTGGTCCAATTTGGTTATGTGAACGGTGAATAATTGAATTCAATAGAGAATGACCATTAATCCATATGTTCTGTTTTTGATATCATCATTTTCTGAAGCCAGCAGTAGTCAAATAGGCCATATTTTCTTTGTCCATTTATTGAGCAATATGCCAATTACTCTGTGCGTGTCTTTGCTATTATGAATCAGAACTAGCAAAATGCAGAATATATCAAGTGAAGGAGGAAAAGAATTGTTGAAAGCATTGATTAGAAAGAGGACTAGTGGTAAGGAGATTGTAATGGAAAGCAAACCATTTAAAGCCTCCAAGAATACATCCATTTCTTCTCACAAGCAACAGAATCACTGTGGAAAAGAATTATTGAAGGTGATAAGGAAGGGAACTGAGAAGTTGAACTTAAACGAAAGCAAATGCAAATCAGGTACACATTCTACAATGTGCTTTTGTTCACCAACCACTCATGAAGGTTCATTCAGGTGTCGTCTCCACCGCATAAGTGCAGCAAATAAGTCAAATTCTAAGCGTACAAATGGGAAAGTAGAGTTTAAGTCTCAGTTGTCAAGGTTTGGTAGGTTTGCCTCTGCTGAAATGGGACAACATGATGATAGCCTAATGCAAATATCTGGATTGGAATCTGCTTAAGAACTGAGCTTATTTCTTGCTCAACTTATAGACTACATTTTTGGGTCTATATGAAGTGTTAGAATAGTTAATGTTGATAGCTTTATTAGGCTCTGCATATAATTTTGACTTTTTAGTTTTGCTGTACATAAGTTGGGTTTGAATTGAACTAGTCTATGTCAAGGCTTTCCGTGAAACTCCTGCATTTTAAGAAGGGGATAGGGAGAACTTCAACAATGAAAGACGTTTATGCTTGTTTCGGACATTTTTTTCTCTTGTTCTTTTTTTTTATTTTTTTTGAAAATATTCCAATCGATTCATCGCTTCACGACTAGTTCGATTTGGAGTTAGTCTAAGATTAAGATTTTAAACCCTTTCCAAAGATGATAATGAGAAGGATTCGATTTGGAGTTGGTCTAAGATTAAGACTTTAAACCCTTTCCAAAGATGATAATGAAAAGGATTGAACGCATGCATGCGCCAACCAAGCTATCAATTTTTGTTATTTTTTCTTGTTCTTTTGGACGGGCTAATGGTTACTTTCAATAATTAATTGTATATTTTCAATCTTCTTTGCCAATAAAATAAATACTATGTACTTCAATGAATCCCTGTCAACTCTCATTTAAGGGAAGTAGCAATTTTTTTGGGATGACATGAGTTGTGACAGATGATTTGATTTATGAAACCATTAACTGCATCCCAGTTGTTCACGCTCAAATTTACGGGTACGGAAAATTCGAAACTAGAAAATACATTTGCAAATACCTTTTTCTTTGTTATGAAAAAAGAACCAATGACTTCTTTCCTTTCTTTTCCTTTTTTAGGTGGATGACTGCTATATCTCTTTTAAGGCTGGTGCAAATCACTCAGTCATGCCGGCATTTGAGATTAAGTTACTTTAACTTGCCAGTAAAAGTGAGATAATGTTTTGCCTTTTCTGCATTATTTCCCAAAGATTCACTACTAGAAAAACAATTTCTAATCGAACTTTGGATGGCTAATGGATTCCTTTCATCCAATGAAAATGATAAATGCAGAAGATATTGGTGGTGAGGTTTGGAATGCATTATCTTGGAGATCATTTTTTCAAGACATCAAGACATAAGAATTTGGCAAAATTCAAGTTTCAAAACGCATGATATGAAGTTTGACAATGTTAGAGGATTTTAAGCAACCAACGAAGCTAACGAATTTATTGTTTAACTTCTCATTTCTCCTCTGTATTTGTTCTCCTTATTTTTCATTCGATTTAATCACTTTTTTTCCCCTCCCAAGTCCTAACATCCAAATATACCTCTGATTGCTCAAGTAATCAGAACTTATTTCCACCATATGTTTCAATAAAGAATTCATGATACTTGTTAATTATCAAGATACAAGAGGTATTAATTGTAATCCTTGTGTCAACTATACGAAGGAGATTTCATATATATATTAAACCAAATAAGAGATATAAAGACATATACACAATGTGGGACCTCTATGACACTATTTACAACAACACTCCCTCTCAAGCTGGAGCATATAGATCGTATGCACCAAGTTTGTTACATATCTGATCTATCCTAGGTCCTCTCAAAGACTTAGTGAATACATTGGCTAATTGATCATTTGAGTTGACAAAACGAGTGACTATATCTCTTGAGAGAACCTTTTCTCTAATGAAATGACAACCTTTTCTCTAATGAAATGACAGTCTATCTCAATGTGCTTAGTCCTTTCATGAAACACTGGATTTGGAGCAATATGCAAAGCAGCTTGATTATCACAAATGAGAGATGTTGGGCCAGTGTCTCCAAACTTGAGTTCCTTCAGTAGTTGTTTTAACCAGATGAGTTCACAAGAGACTGTGGCCATGGAGCGATATTCTGCTTCAGCACTTGATCTAGCAACTACACTTTGTTTCTTACTTCTCCAGGAAATCAAGTTATCTCCAACGAATACACAATACCCAGATGTGGATTTTCTATCAATGAGAGAACCTGCCCAATCAGCATCTAAGTATCCCACAACTCTAGTACGACCATTGTTTTCATAGAGGAGACTTTTGCCTGGAGCAGTCTTGATGTACTTGAGGATACGTATTACTGCATTCCAGTGATCTTCGCAAGGAGAATTCAAAAACTGACTTACTACACTGACTACAAACGAAATGTCTGGTCAAGTAACTGTGAGATAGTTCAGTTTCTCAACCAATCTTTTATACCTTTATGGATCCGAAAATAGCTTCCCCTGATTTGGCAAAAGCTTGACATTTGGATCCATAGGAGTATCGACGGGCTTAGCATTCAACAGAGTTGTCTCCTCAAGAATATCCATAACATATTTTCTCTGAGATAGTACAATTCCATCTTTGGATTAGGCCACTTCTATCCCTAAGAAATATTGGAGTCTTCCAAGGTTTTTTGTCTGAAAATAATGGCAGAGATGTTGTTTTATCTGAGTTATGCCATGATGATCATTACCTGTAATGACAATATCATCAACATATACCACCAAATAAGTAGAACCTGAATCAGAGTGTCTATAAAAGACTGAGTGATCAGCCTTACTCTGAGTCATGCCAAACTGCTGCACAACAGTGCTAAACCTTCCAAACCAAGCCCGAGTAGACTGCTTGAGACCATACAAGGATTTGTGGAGATGACAGACTAGGTTAGACTCCCCCTGAGCAACAAACCCAGGAGGTTGCTCCATATAAACCTCTTCCCGCAAATCACCATGGAAGAAAGCATTCTTTATGTCCAGCTGATACATAGGCCAGTGATGAATGGCTGCCATAGTAAGAAAGAGGCGAACATAAGTCATTTTCGCCACGGGAAAGAACTTGTCTCCGTAGTCGAGGCCAAATACCTGAGTATAACCTTTAGCCACCAATCGGGCCTTGAGACGGTCCACCTGACCATCAGGACAAACTTTGACCGTCTATATCCATCGACAGCCAACAACAGACTTCCCAGAGGAAAGGGGAACCAAATCCCAGGTACCACTACTCTGAAGTGCACACCTTTCATTATTCATGGCCTGTCGCCATCCAGAATGAGATAACGCCTCACCTGTAGTCTTAGGAACAGATGCAGAAGAAAGATAAGAGAGGCAAGCAAAATGGGATGGTGAAAGACGATGATAACTCAGATTTATTAAATACATGGAAAGGAGACGAGAATCACGAGTACCTTTTCGGAGTACAATGGGTAGGTCAATGTCAGACGGAAGGACCGGAGCTGCCGGAGGTGAGTCCACAGGAGCCTCAGTAATAATAGGGGCAGGGTCCTGGGGAATGGGTGGGCGTTGCCGACGATGATAAACCTAGAGTGGGGGGATAGGGTCGGGGACATCTAAAGGAGGAGGTGGTGAAGAGATATATTGAACTGAAACAGGGGTTAAAGGTAGCTGATTAGCAACAGAGTCACTGGGGAAGAAGGAGGAGCCAAAGAATGGGATAGACTCAAAGAAGGTAACATCCGCCGAGACAAAGTAACGATCAAGACTGGAAGAGTAACAACGATAACCCTTTTGTGACCTAGGGTAACCAAGGAAAATATATTTATGTAACTTAGCAAATAACTTGTCAAGACCAGGACTGAGATTATGGACAAAACAAGTAGAACCAAAGACATGGGGAGTTAGTGGATACAATAGTTGATGGGAAATAACACAGAATGTGGTACCTGGTTATCAAGTACGGAGGAAGGCATACGATTAAAAAGATAACAAGCTATAAGGACAACATCGCCCCAATACTGGAAGGGGACATGGCCATGCAACAAAAGGGTCCGAGTAGTTTCAATGAGGTGACGGTTCATGCGTTCAGCGACCCCATTTTGTTGAGTGGTGTGTCAACATGATGTCTGGTGAAGGATGCCGTGAGATGCAAAGAAGGTTTGAAATTGATGAGACAAATATTCACGAGCATTATCACTTCGAAAGATGCGAATGGAAACACCAAATTGATTAAGGATTTCATTAAAGAACTGGTGAAAGATGGAAAACAATTCAGACCAATTTTTCATTAAAAATAACCAAGTACATCAAGAATAATCATCAATAAAAGTTACAAAATATCTGTACCCCATAGTGGAAACGGTACGACTAGGACCCTAAATATCTGAATGAACTAAAGAAAAAGGAGACGAAGACCGACGACTGACACGATCGGGAAATGAACTATGAGTGTGCTTCCTTAACTGACATGACTCACAAGACAAACAAGATAAAGTAGAGAAACGTGAGACCATCTTCTAGAGCTTAGCAAGACTCGGATGACCCAACTGAGCATGGATAGTAAGCGAAGAATCCACAACAGAGCACACTGGGATAGAAGTGGAAAGCTAATAAAGGCCGTTGGACTCAGATCCGACGCCAAGTGTCCTTCCCGAGCTCCGATCCTGCAAAATGACAGACTTTTTAGTGAAGGAAATAATACAATCAAGGGATTGAGTCAAGCGACTAATGGAAATAAGGTTGAAAGGAGAATTAGGAACATAAAGCACATTGTTAATGGGAATAGAAGGAAAAAGGAGAACAATGCTAATCCCTTGGGACTGAACCAGTGACCCATTAACCATAGTGATACTGGGCAGGGGACCAGACGTACAAAGAGAGGTGAATAAAGACTTATTACCAGAAATATGGTCAGATGCATCAGAATCGAGAATCTATGGACTAATAGAGGGTGAGTGAGAAAAACCAACAAAGGAATTACCCGTGTGTGCACCAGAGGAAGTCGTACCAGGAGGACGCTTCTCCTCATACCATTGCAAGAAGTCAGTGAGAATAGATAGAGGTGGCTGTGGTGCAGCAATCAAAGCAGAGTCCGAGGCAGGAGCAACACTCTGAGCAAAATTAGCGGACCGAGGAGGGAGACCATGAAGATCCCAGCAACGATCAATAGTATGGCTCAGCTTGTTGCAATGAGTACAGAGAGGGCATCCCTTAGAGGGTTTGCGTCCACGTGCATAACCCTTGGAGACAAAGGCAGAAGGGTCAATTGAAGAGGGAGCAGATATTGTAGGCTCTATAGCAGACTTAGGTGAAATTCAAAGCAACGTAGACCAAACAGAGTCCAGGGATGGAACAGTAGTAGAGCCCAAGATCTAATCCCGGTTGACAGAGTATTCCGGGGGCAAGCCATAAAGAGCCATGAGCATGAAGAATGTGTTGCGTTGCTCAAGTTCCTTAGCAGGGTCTGCAGCAGGAGGCAAAAGTTCATTGAAATCATGAAGGAGACCCTGAACTTTTTCCAAATAGGAAGACATAGAGACATTAAAGTGTTGAGCAGCAATAATAGTTATCAAATTTTGACAAACACCATAGAGTCGCTGAGTGTCATTGGTATAAAGTGACTTAGCCTGACGCCAAACAGACTCACAAGTGACGTGAGCATGGAAGATCTGCTTCAATGACCGGTGGATGGTAGACTTGATGGTGCTACATAACTGAGCATCAACCTTTTCCATCGAGGGTGTACATCTACCGAAATGGACTTAGCCTTAGTAATGAGATGGTCAGCATAATCCTGTCCATCAAGCCAAAGTCGGAGATCAGAAACCCAAGAGTCATAATTGGAGCCATCCAACTTGTCGACATACAACAGAACATTAACGTAATTAGTGAAAATAGGCGTGTCATTCTTTTGAGAACCCTTGGATGCATCGTAGAGTGACGAATGAGCCATAGGTCACCTGAAACAAAGATGAACGGTAACAGAAAACAAAGAAACACGCGTGAACAGTAACCAACAAGGGAAAAGACGCTGTGGGAAACCGTAATGAAGTCAAAACCACAAAGTGAGGACATATCCAGGTGCACAAGGAGAAGACGAGGTGAACCGTGGTGGTCTGACGTCAAGCCAGAGTTGCACGCGCCTCCACGTGCCGCTGAAAGAAAACGGACAACAGTGGCTGTCTTACGCGCGTGAGAGCGCGTGGAAGAGAATCTGGAGGTGGGTCCTGGACAAAGAGGACCATCTCATCGTGGCGATCAGAACCGTGGGTGGTTCGCCGGAAAAATCGCTGAAAAAGTCATCAGAGACGGCAGTCAACGGTGGTCGACGGTGGTTCTTGATAGCGACAGTGATCAGATAGGTCCTTAGACGATATATGGAAGCCGGAAACTGATAGATATGACTGTTTCTGGAAAAAAAATTTACTCAGCGGACAGTGGTCCATCGGAAAGACGGAGATTAGGACTCCTCTTGTTAGGCTCTGATATCATGTTAATTATCAAGATACAAGAGGTATTGATTGTAATCCTTGTGTCAACTACACGAAGAAAATTTCATTTATATATTAAACCAAATAAGAGATACAAAGACATATACACAATGTGAGACCTCTATGACACTATTTACAACAACAATACTTTTTGCTAGAATTGAATTTCTGCCATCACTTGTAAAAAACAAAAATTCCTTCAAATCCATGGGGTTACTAACTTCTTCATGGCTCATATTCCAAAAACATTTAGTAGTTCTCTAGGGAGTATTAACTATAATTTTTTAACTTTAAATGGACATTAAGTTTTAAAGTGCCCAACATCAGTAATAAGGGTTAGAGGTCTGTGTAATAGATTTCTTCCTGTAGATTTTAGGTTTTTATCTTATTCTTCTTTTACTGCACAATGTATTTAATTCTGAAACTGAAAATTATGTTCTTCTTAGTGTTTAGGATTCTATGGACTTTGAAAATGAAAATATGATGCTTCAAGCAGGTGTGTGGATACCTATAGGGTGAAGGGGAATATCCATCACCAACTTTCTATTAAATCCCAAGTTCAACTATTGACTTTACGGTCTATACAATTCTCTATGTGAAGTTAAGAGATTGAATAAGGAGTGGCATATGAAAGCTTTGGAAGCCCATCCCACCATTGTTTAAACTAGCACCTCCCAAAGAAAAGATTAAAAGGCTTAAACATTATGCACTAGCAAGCTTTCTCGTCAAGAAATCAAGTGCAATCAACTCTCACCCATTGTGATCGGAAAGTCATGAATTTGAGTTTGAGAAATAGTCTTTTGCGGGTGTTTGATAGAAGAGATTTTTTTTTTTTTTTTACCGGGGGAAATACAATTACTAAGAATACGGTGGAAAAATGAATTTGATAAAAAAGTTAAAAAAAGTTGTTTGATAGTCCGAAATATTACCGAAAAAATTGAGTTGAATTTTCTGAATCTATTTTTGGTTGAAGGTCAAATATTAATGAAAAAATGTGATGAAATTACCAAACTAACCCTTAACTAAATACAAAGAAGACTCTCTCTCTCTCTGACTTTCTTTTGGCACGTTTTTTGAGAAGAGATATTTGTGCCCATTATTTTTTTCCTACTTTTTGATTTGATGGAGTAACTAGGTGGTATTCTGAAATGGCAAATTTTTCTAATTTTTACACACAAACTGAGATTGCTATGCAAATCTAAATGATGGGCAAATTTTTTAAAACCTCCTACCAAACATGGTCAATTAAGAAACCCATCTCAATTTTCTCAGGCACAAAAAAAAAAAAAAAAAAAAAAAAAACTCTCCTACCAAACACCCCATAAGGGTAAATTACGTACAATCAACTCTCACTTTTACCATTTCAAGTTGAGGAGTTTTGTGCACCAGAATTTACCATTTTTCATCTCATTCTTGGTGGCTCTGAATAATAGATGATATATTTTAGGAGCTCTCTGGGCTATTTTGACACCATGCAACTTTCATACTAATTGGTGTTTCCAAACTATGGCAAGCAATACTTTCATCATCTCTGAGGATCAACATATGTACGATAATAAGAAGGTCTCGTTGACTGCGATTTTTACAATGTTTGGATTGATGAAAATGGATGGAATAAAACACAATATATTGAATGACGTTAATCGCTATTGTTTGAGTTGTACAAAATAAAATAGAATGGAATGTACTTTATAGAATTTATTTCATTCCATTTTATATATAATACCTCTATTTTTCCCCCTCTTAATTTGAGAGGTATAAGATGGAACCAAAATTGTACTTATTTCACTATAAAATATCATAATAATAGTATGACAATTTTATTCGATTTCATCTTATTATTAGATATCCAAACTTAACATGATAAAATGTTTTCCGAAACTTTCTATTCACTATAAGAGCAAACAGAGACTGTTTATGCACTTTTCATAACTTTCTATGCGATGATATAAAAAATAATTCACATATAACCATAAAAGCTTAAAAGTATTTATTAGAGAAATGTATCATCTCACGTATATATTCATATATGTCCATCTGGCTCTCATGTTTTGAAGCTTGGAAGAAGAGAGAAATATACAAAATTTATAAATGATGTTATGTAAATTTACGCATAAAAGCATCAGCTTCCATTTATTAAATATTTCATATATGTCCATCTGGCTCTCATGTTTTGAAGCTTGAAAGAAGAGAGAAATATACAAAATTTATAAATGATGTTATGTAAATTTACGCATAAAAGCATCCGCTTCCATTTATTAAATATTAAAAATTGATTTTTTTAAATAAAAGAGCTTAAAAAATATTTTCGATTTAATTTGTTAGTTTTTAATTGGTCCCAAAATAGTTTGATCGTAAATTCGCTTATAAAATTATTCAACACAAAAAAAAATTGCTTAAAAAACTAAAATGAAAAATATTTGTTATTTTGAAGATTATAAGTTTATGTTATTTTAAATTAAATTATTGTATTTTAATGAGTTTTTAATTCTCTTTCTTTTACAATATCAAGAGGTGAGAGAAAAAAAAATTATGTAATAAAGAAAAAGTTAAAACTCACCGAAATATAATAATTTATTTAAAATGATATAAAGTTAGAGTAAATATCTTTTTTTGGTCCCTAACAAAAAATACAGTCCCCACTTTAGTTACTTACAAAAATAAATTGATCAGTTAGCCCCTAACAAATTCAAAGTGGACCTATTTAGTTGAAATCATGGTCCCTCATAAATTCAAAAAAGACCCATATTAGTCCCTAAAAAAGACTAAAATGGGTCCACTTCGAATTTGTTACGGACTAACTGACTAATTTATTTTTGTAAGAGACTAAAATGGAGACCGTATTTTTTGTTAAGGACCCAAAATGGTATTTACTCGTAAAATTATTATTTTAAAATGATAAACATTTTTTTCAAATCGATTGGGTTTATAATGTCATTTGTCGAATCGTCCGGTTTGGTCCGGTGCAAGACAACCATTGTAGTGGTATATATAGGGAGGTTTTCCTTCCCGCCTTGACCAAAGGAAACCCATCAGAATCGAAGAGAGAGAGAGAGAGAGAGAGAGAGAGAGAGAGAGAGAGAGAGATGTGTGGGAGAGGACGTTGTACTCTGAGAGCGGATGATATCCCAAGGGCTTGTCACCGCAGCGTTCCCCCTACTACTGTTCTTCATATGGACCGGTAATACTCAAAACTAAAACTAAAACTAAAACTAAAACTTGGTGTCTATTCTAGAAAGACAAATACAGAAAATAAACTATTTCTGTGTTTTGAGTGTTTTTTTTCCATTTTTGTTTTGCTACAATATATATTTTGTATTCATGTTGGCTCAAAACTTCAAATGGGTCTGTTTTTTCAATTTTTGCTTTTTAATGTTATTTGGTAGGTAAAGAAGAAACAATGAGAGAATTTATTTATTTTTTTTAACGAGTTTTAAATATTTTGCTATATTGTGTTTTGCTACACCAAGTGTTTTCTCAAGTTGGGTTCACTTCAAATGGCATTTCTGTGTTAGGAACGGATGACAAACTGACACTGTGGAAGAAAAAGGGACACTTTTTTTTTTATTGGTTAGTTGAGGTTTTCTTCAAGTGAGTCTATAGTGGTTGCTGTTTTAGGAACGGATAGCAATGTGGAAGAAAAATGTAATATAGGTTTTTTTTTTTTATTAATAATTTGTTATTTTGAGGTTTCTTCAAGCGGGTCTAAAATGGTTGTTTTAGGAAAAATATGCGGAGGAGGTGAATGAATGAAACAAGAGGTTGCTTTAATTTCTTTCATTTTGTTACCATTGAATTAATGGAAGGGTTATATTTACAAACTAAATCGTTTACAAACTCTTATAACCAATTCTTATATGTTATTATCGTCAATATCAACATCAACATCAACAACACCTTTATCGTCAATATAACTGTTATAATTAATTGGGTCACACTTATTAATTAATTATTAATAACAGTTAGATTAACAGAAATTAATGGTTAAGATTTGGTTATAAGAGTTTGTAAACAATTTAGTTCATAAATATAACCCTCTTCTTGAAATATATAGTTTGGTGTGGAATTTGTGTTCCATAATTCAATTTGACTGTGTGCTTAGGTATAGGCCATCGTATAATGTATCGCCAGGATTCAACGTGCCAGTAGTTCGTAGAGAAGATGCATCTGACAGTGAAGGCTATGTTCTTCATTGCATGAAATGGGGTTTAATTCCCAGTTTTACTAAGAAAACAGAGAAACCTGATCACTACAAGATGGTAAAGTTTACGGATTCTAACTTTCTTTATTTATGTCCTCCTTCTTCTTCTTTGGGTAAGGGAGGGGATCTTGATTAAAAATTTTAAGTGGGTGAATGATTAGAGTAACTTCAATAGGATTTGTAATTGGTTATATACATAATTAATTGATAGTATATTATATGAACAAAGAGAAAGAGGAGTAGAGGATGCTCAAGTCATGGCATGGATTATATGCTCTCATGATCCAAACATCATCCTCAATCTTTGACCCTTTAAGGCTTATCAAAGATTCTAGCTTGAACTCGAAGTAGCCATACTTCAATAGGACAGTCTCTCAATCTCTGAATTTTACTCTCATTTTATGAAACATTGGGCTGAATACACTGAGATAGTATATGAAAACTCAACTTCTGAAGCTATTTGTTCGGTACAATCAGTTCACGAAACTACTAAAATTAATCAATTTCTTATAAAACTGAGATCTGGATTTGAAAGGTATCAATTCCTATCTCGTTGTTGCAGCCTCAATGATCTGTTTCATGAGGAACAGCGCCTTCTCATTCAAACCACCATGGAAGAACCAAATTTCACCTCTGGTTCCAGTGGTTTATGAGCTGTTCAATGTTTCTGTTGCAAAGGATTTGGTCATTTTACTTCCAACTGTCCCAAAAAATTCTGAAGTTATTGCCAAAGGATTTGGCCTTTTCATCTATTGTTCATCTTTTGTTACATATCATCATAATCATTCCTGATATATGAACCTGACAATTTGATTAATGCTTTATTTACTGAGAAGTTAGTAATGCCAGTTTAGCTAACATTGGTGATAAAATTACATGGTATGCATATATTGTTTTCACAATCTTTATTGGAGTTTTTTCTACGAAAATACTACTCCATCAAATTATAATCCTTTTTAGCTAAGCACTCAATCTAATCTGATTTGTGCTATGTACTGCAGTTTAATGCTCGATCTGAATCCATAGATGAAAAGGCTTCATTTCGTCGTCTGGTTCCAAAATGCAGGTGCCTTGTAGCAGTGGAAGGGTATGTATTGCATTAATTGTTTTATCATATTTTCACTCTTCTCTTCTTAGCTTTTGGCTTTAGCATGACCTGGGAATGCTTCCTGTTGCTTGAGCATCTTCTCAATATCCACTTGCTGTTTCCTCTAATATTGTTGTAAGGGAATACGTTTCAAATAAATTAAACTTTTCATACACTAATTACATTCCATGGATATATGTGCTCAATCAGTAAGTGTAAAAATCCTTGCATGTGCTGTTGAAGATTTGGCCGAGTCTATTTGATAGCTGTTTTGTCATTTGTCCTCAATGTCTGACCTGAATCAAAATTAGGTCTGCTAGCTGGGTAGACAATGCATTCTCATTGTGAGTTTGTCTTGATGCTATGCACATAGCAATACTTGGGAGATGGGATGGATTCTTCATTGAGCTTGAGGAAAATTCCATCCTAATAACCATTGTTCGGACTATATATCCATTTTCCTATATCTTAGGTCTGTTATTGTTATGAATTTTATGGCCTCATTGCTGTCATAATTTTTATTCAAAATTATGGTTTACCATTGTTGGTAATGTAAATAGTGTCTTGGTTCATTATATTAGTGATGTTTACATTCATTGTATAGGCTAAACCAAATCCTGTAATTACAATAATTAGGTTATCTAGTACCTTTGTAATTATTAGGTTTCTAGTATCTATGTAATTATTATTTTTCATCTATATAATTTAGTCTCTCAGTGTAGTCCAACACACGAAATTCGCTTAATGTCTCTCCTTTTTAATCTCTCAATGTGGTACAAGAGTCTCACAAAAGGCAATCTTAGTTTGTGCCTACCTTGTGGACCCGCTGTCCATCAGGGAATTTTTTTTCTTCTTGAAATTGTGTTTCAACTTTGGATTTTGGTCTCCAATGCCATATCTTCCTTCTTGCAGCCTGAAACACATACCCCTGTGATTGCTTGTCATTGTTTCGGCCTCCGTTCACTGCTGTCGGATGACTTTTCTTGCTAGTGGCCCCTAAATCTGAACCGCCTCTTAATGCCCAGCCATGTCTAACAATTGTCACATGCACCAACACGCACCTCATTTGATGCTCGGTTGTGCAGCGTCATTAGATCCACTATTGATCCCTCTTTGAAACATATTTGTGCCCCTATGGCCTGTGCATCGTCTACTCTTCAAGTTCAGTGGGCTCTCATGTGAGGGGACGTGTTGAGGTATATAAAATCATTAATGTAGCTTTACCTAAAAGCTTAAGCTGCTGGGTGTAGTTACATTAATGGTTTTATATATCTCAACACGCCCCCTCACACGAGAGCCCACTGGGCTTGAAGGGTGGACGATACACATGCCCACCTACCTGTGCGAAAAAAGAAATTCCACTAGAGAAAGTGGGGGGCGGCGAGGATCGAACCCGGGACACGAGGCTTTGATACCATAAAAAGAACCAATTGAACCCAAAAGATTAAGCTGTTGGGTGAGGTTACATTAATGATTTTATATATCTCAACACGCCCCCTCACACAAGAGCTTATTGGGCTTGAAGGGTGGACGATGAACAGGCCCACCTACCTGTGCGAAGAAAGAAATTCCACTAGAGAAAGTGGGGGGCGGCGAGGATCGAACCCGGGACACGAGGCTCTGATACCATGTAAAGAATCAATTCAATCCAAAAGCTTAAGCTGTTGGGTGTAGTTACATTAATGGTTTTATATATCTCAACAAGTACTAATCAATGCCTTTATGGGGTTTTCCATAACCTTATGAGTGTCCTTACACCTCGGAAGTTCAATGTCCCTCTGTCTGCATATTTGGGGAATATTAATTTAGTTCTCCATGACTTCAATGAGCTATTTCCCTCTGCAGCGACACCAACGCAGGAACTTGAACAACAAAGTACACCTCCTATGACTTGCCTCTAGAGTATTACCAACTGTGATCATATTTTGGGCTCACCCATTGTCACCACTCTAAACACAACTTGGTATGGTCCTCCTTGCTTCGGATTATGTCCGAGCAATGCTCTGAGCCTGGCATACCTCTTTCTCTAGTTGATTTCTCAGTGTTAGTGTCCAAAAGTTCTGGTGTGGTCGTAAGCCCAACAAATCTTGTCCATAGTGCGACCATTGTTATAAGTTGGGCCATACCATTGATAAGTGTTGGGCCTCATGTCATTCTTCTTGCGCTGTCAACATTGCCTAGGCCTCTCAGTTAGAACTCCTTGTGTCTACTGAACACCTGATGGTGGCTCCTGCTACCTACTTTGACTTTCACCTGACGACATTCCCTTGTGTCAGTATTGCTAGAAGGAAAGAGATCATTTGGGTGCAAGTGGGTTTTCTCAATCAAATACAATACTAAAAGGAGTGTGAACATGTACAAAGCTTGAATAGTTGCAAAGAGATTCACCCAATCCTACTATATTGACTATGAGAAGACGTTTGCTCCTGTTAGAAATATTCAAGTGTGAGTAGAAATGAAGCCACACATCGGTTAAACTTGAACCAAGTGAGAACCATATAAGTGCGAAAGACCCATAGACCTATTAAGGTTTTGCATTGAGATGTGGTGTCGACCCACTTATTGTAGTTTGTCGCTTAGCCAAGTATTTGGAGATGGTGACGTTTCAAGGCCTCTGCAGAAGGCTAGTGTGACTCCAATATTTGAAGAAAAAAAACTTTTGCAGAAGTTGCCCTTAGGGAGGAGCATGATGTTTGGCCTTACACTTGAGGGGAGGATGTTAGAAATATTCAAGTGTGAGTAGAAATGAAGTCCCACGTCGGTTAAACACAAACCCAATGTGGACCATATAAGTGCGAAAGACCCGTAGACCTAGAGCCTTAAAGTTTTGGTTTAAGATGTGGTGTCGGCCTACTTATCATGGATTTTCATTTGGGTTTATTTGTGAATAAATCATGTGCAAAGGTTTTGAGCTCCCCTATGCCATTCTTAACAGCTCCAATGACAAAACTTAAATCAGTATGAGTTATCTTATCCCTAGCTACAAATCTAGATTGGCCTCTACACCAACTAGACATTAAGAACACCTTCCTTAATGGTGAATTAGTCGAGGGAGTTTAGATGTAAATTCCTCCCAGACTTAAATCATGAGAAACTTCTGGCACAGTATGCAGACTCCACAAATCCCTATATGGTCTTATGCAATCTCCGAGAGCATGGTTTGATCGGTTGGCTCGTGTTGTCAAGAAGAATGAGTTCATGCAATGTTAAATAGACCATACTGTGACTGCCAGGTACTCTTTGGAAGGAAAATTACCCGTTTATAGTATATGTTGATGATATCATCATCACGGGTGATGATCATCACAAAACTGAACGCCTCAAGAAGTTTCTAGCAAAAAAAATTTGAAGTGTAAGACTTGGGATAGCTCAAGTACTTTATTGGAATGGAAGTTGCTAGCTCCAAAAATGGGATCTTTGTGTCTCAAAAGAAGTACACACTAGACATACTGCAAGCAGCAAGTATCCTAGAGTATATGCCAACTGACTCACCCCAATGAAACTTGCAAGAAAAAATGGGGCAGAAGAAGAAAGTCCTCCATCCAACACACGAAAATACCAAAGGCTAGTGGGAAATCAATCTATTTAAATCATACCAGACCAGACATTGGGTTTGCTGTGAGTATAGCAAGTCGTTGTATGATAAACCCCGTTGTAAACCACAAAGAAGGTAGTCATTCGTATCCTACAAGATGTAAAGGGGGCCCCAGGTAGGGATCTTCATTTCATGAAGAATCTGAATAGAGGTCTTTGCACTTATGTGAATTGGGCAAGATATGTATTTGACCGAAGATCCACAACTGGATATTGTATGTTTGTGTGGGGAATTATGGCCGCACGGAGATGTAATAGAAACAATCCATGGTTGCACGAAGTAGTGTTAAGGTGGAATTTAGGGCCATGGCTCATGGTATTTGCAAAGGATGCTTAAGGAACTTAGATCCAGTCAAACTACAGTACGAAAATCCTATGTGATAACAATAGCAGCTACACCTAGCTTTACATTAAAAAAAGAAATTGTATGATTGTTCTTGAAAATAAGGATCAAAATCAGGACAAATTATCTGCCACTGTTGTGTTTAGTTTTTTTGCCCCTAATTTCCTATTTATACTGCCATCTTGTAATCAATAGAATAAATAAAATACAAATTTTCTTTAATAGTTTATCTAAGTTTTCTAATATTATGTCTATTACATCCATTCTCGGCTTATTTGTGGCTTTAAGTTCAGTTCTTTCAAATGATTTCTTTTAATTACATGTTTTAGATTTTATGAATGGAAAAAAGATGGTTCAAGGAAACAGCCTTACTATATTCACTTCAAAGATGGACGACCACTTGTCTTTGCTGCACTTTATGACTCATGGAAAAATTCTGAAGGTAAAAATTTCTGCAGAAAGATGTTGGGTATTGACTTTATTCGACATGAAAGATCCTTTTAATTTTACTTTATATTCCTGCTAATGTTGATGTAAATATTCTTAACTGCAGGTGAAATACTATACTCGTTTACTATTGTTACGACCTCTTCCTCTTCAGCACTTCATTGGCTTCATGGTGAGTAATGCACTCCTAAATGTTGACATGCCAGCAAAGTTTAAGGTTGATATTATTAACTCTGAAAGGAATATTAATGTTTACTTGTTTGTATAGTTCAACAAGAATCCGCCATGAATACCACAAGTTGTTATTTGAAAAGCTGGAATGAGACTCGTGTATTGCACCAACATTGTGGCAGAAACTCTGAATAATTTGCACTTTGCTCCCTAATTTAAAATTGTTAAATACTATCTGATGGAAATAAGGACCAAAAAGCTAGGCTCAAGGTCCTTCGGGTTTATTCCCATTGGCCCAAACCAAATTAGTGACAGTTCTGAAAGTGTGTTAGTGTGGGAGGGAGGGAGTTTGTCAGAGGAAAGGGAAAATGAATATTTGGAAAACCATGTATAATAAGCTATTTTAGGAAATCCCTTTATGACAGATAGTATCCCTAGAATTAGGCTTGTTTTAATTGTGTTTCCTATTCTGTTAGGATGTCCTGAAATCATGGGATCTAACCTTAATTTCTTCCTATTCTGTTTGGGATTTCATGTATATAGCTAACTCATTGGTGTATTATTCAATTATGAATAAAATTAAAAACTTTTAATCTCTGAGATGGTATCAGCTTACCGCGCCCTTCAAGGGCAGCCCAAATGACCTGGGATCACTATGAATATTTATTTTCAGTGAGGCAGTAGGTCTGATGCAAAACTGGGTGGTCATTAGGATTGAGCAGTGTAGTCATGATGGACTTCTGATTAGGCTGGTTGGTTTAAGAAGAGGTCGGAATGACTTCAGTGTTAGACATGGCTGTCATATTGGCAAAATGCTAAAATCTGTACTTTAAATGTGTCTCTTTAGACAGGATGCCTGTTATTTTGGGTGACAAGGATTCAACTGATACCTGGCTAAGCAGTTCTGCTTCCAGTTTTAAAAGTGTGCTGAAGCCATATGAAGAATCTGATTTGGTATGAGCTTTACAAAAAAAGATTGGGGCTAAAATTTCTATTTTCATTATTAGTGCGGAACTTATATTTTATTATCTGTTCTGGCATTATAGGTGTACCAGTTTAGTATAGTTTCATTCAGTGTTCTTGGTTAACTTGTTTTTTTAATCTCTAGGTGTGGTACCCAGTGACACCTGCTATGGGCAAGCCATCATTTGATGGACCTGAGTGCATAAAGGAGGTATGACATTTGAACTTTCCTTTGATGTTGTTTCTCATCATTTAGCCTTTTCTTAGTTTGGACTCCTCAAATATTGAGTCGAGCCTATAAATCAATAAACAAATGACATAGCTTTATATCTGAACCTTGAATTGCAAATTGCATCTGCCTAGATCTGTTCTTATTGTCATTTGTGCCTTGATGCATGGAGTTCCAAAAAGGCAAAATTTATGACAGTAATTTATTGAGTACCGCTCATTTAAAAGCTCTTCATAATTTAACCCTTAAAAAAAGGGTTCTAGTGAGGTCCTATTGGACCTAAGAGGAGAATGGAATGTGAGGGATTCCACAGCCCCATGGTTTCAAAGACCAGGGGATATACCTGTTGAGCTAAGCTCAGCTGGTGTTCAACTTGTATTTTATTCAAAATGAAACAAACAAATATGGCAGCACTCTTGGTAGCCACGTTATTTTGTGTCCATGTGTGTGGAAGGGGACCCAACTTGTCACATGTTAATTGTGGTAAATTTCGTGCCTATGTATCTACACATATACACCAACATGTCTACATGTTTTAAAAGAATGTTGGCCCCATTTCATCCCTGATATTGAAAACCTTTAGTTAGCATCTTCCCATATTTGGCAGATTCAAGTAAAGGCAGAAGGGAACACTTCAATCTCTATGTTCTTCTCAAAAAAGGTAGCTGAAAATGAAGACACAAAGCCAGAGAAGAAAATATCATGTCATGAATTTGTCAAGACTGAACTTACAGAAGACCTGAGTAAAGAAGCTGCTAAAACTGAGGGAGAGAATGACATAAAATCCAGTGGTTTTTCCAATTCTCAAAATGCTACTAAGGTCCCAATCAAGCGTGATTATGAGGCTTTTTCAGCTGATTCAAAGCCAGCTTTGGCTAATATTGATCAGGTGAGGGCAAACCCTGTAAAGAAAAAGGAAAAAGCGAAGACTGCTGATGATAAACAACCAACCTTATTTTCCTACTTTGGAAAAAGGTAACCAGTTTTTGTTTTCATGAAGATTGCCATGTTCTGTATTGATATAAATTACGTGGAGGCATTTTTTGTTTTGCTTTTGTATGTCCATAGGTCAAGTTTTAATTTTATAACACATCCTAACAATTGCAATATATAGTCGTGTACGAACTCTAACCTGTGGTTCATATTCAAGAGGAGCTTAATATAGCAATGCTTTTCTATTATTATTTTTTGGTTTTGCTGGTTACAAAATGTGGTCTCAATTTTTACCAGTTAGTGTTGCTTTTGTGAAGTGATTACCTGATATTGTTACAATTGCATAGTGAACGATCCGGGTGGGTTGGGAATGTCCAACGGAAGGTTGGTATTTACGTTCGTGGGTGTCTATGGAAGAGACACCTCAAGGGGTAGCAAATCATTGTCGTGCAGGAATGGTAATGGTGTAAAGTCAAAGACATGAGATGTGTGCATTGTGACAGCTAAAAGTGTAGAGAGCTTAAAGTGTACTTGTTAAGTTTAACCCTTTATTGGTTTTGTTTTTTATTACCCTGTCTCTTCCCCGGATGATATTGTACGGGTTCTGTGAATAATTCTATCTAAATAATTTAATAAATTGTCAAGATTTGCATTAAAATTGGTCTCAAATGACGTGACTGTTCATTCAACAATTTTTTAATCAAATTTTAAATTTATTCATATTTAAAGGAAACTTTATTTTTAAATAAATACTCTTTATTTCTCGATTTAAATTATATTTGTTTAAGTTCTTTTATTTTTATTTTGATAAGATAAGAAATTCTCGGATCACTTGGAACTAAAGTACAGGTCTAGGCATATCCCTCTTGTATTTAGGACAATTAATTGTTAGGGAAAATTTCGAACCTTAAGTTGATGCATGAAGAATATCTCTTGAAATTACTTTATTGATGATAAGGTAATTTTGAACTTGCATTATCATATATCATTTAAGGGCTTTATTAATTGTTATCAAAAAAAAAAAAAAGGGGGCTTTATTAATCTCATGCAATAGGAGAGAACTCTCTCATGTAATAGAGATAATCATGTGTAGGACCCATCCACTATAAAAAAAGAAAAAAGAAATAAACAAAAATCGATGTACGTGTAGGAGAGAAAAATTTCCTCATACAACATAAGAGTATATTTTTCCATCATTTAAATTAATTAGGACTATAGTTCAAATGTTAAGAAACGTTGCATTACTAAATGCTTAGTCAACATGCAAGGTAAGCAATTAAAAAATGGAAAAACGAAAAAGATTAATGAGCAATTTAATCTTTTTTGACATTTTACAAGATGGACTACAAAAAATAAAAATAAAAAATGTATAGAGGTTTCTTTATCCATGGACCTAACTTATGGGCCCATATTTTAATATGGGTGACCAACTAAAAGAAATAATCTTATCCAATAAGATATCAATTATACAATATCACTAATGAATTAAATATTGATCTTCCAATATTTTCAGGAAGACCAGAATTTTACTCCTATTAGGTAATCTATCTATAAATAAATGGTTAAGTCAAACACGTACACTTGCGCTCTTTCACAGATCACGTGAGAGTACAAACCCTAGATAAATTATCAACCACTAGTTGGACATCTCGAACACTTATCTCTTCCAAACTTCTTATGATATTGGGGGAATTCTTTGAATAATTCTACCAAAATAATATTTTCAAAAACTTCTCACATGGTTTGTATTAAAATTCATCTCAAATGACATGACAATTTATTAATCTAATTTTATGATTATTCATAATTAAGGGCATCTTTATTTTTTAATAAAGATTCTTTCGAATTAATTTAATCAAAAGTTTAAATTGTTAGGTGATATTACGTAAAGATTATTTATTATATTTCTCTAAAATTCCTGGACTTAAATCATGTTTTATTATTATTTTTTGTTTAGATAAAGTTATTTTCGGATCAATCAGAACTAATTAAGGAGGCCTTAAAACTCGTATCCCTCTTGTGATTAGGAAAATTAATTGCCTTTCGTGTTAGGCCAAGTTTTGAAGCTTAAAAGTCGATGCATGAATGATTGATGATAAGGTAATTCTAAACTTGCGTTGGGATCATATCATTTAGTTGAAGGATTTTAGTACAAATGATGACACGTTACAATTACACTAGGAAAGTAAAACAAAAATTATAATTACACTAGGGTAAATGAGTAATTGAGTCACTTTTTTGACATTTTACATAAAGGATTACAAAAGAAAATGTATGCATGATCCTTTCTCCAAGATCAGTACAACTTTAAGGGGCAGGTCTGATTACAATCTTTCTCCTTTCATTTTTCAAGACTTACAGAATCTTTCTTATGGTTTTTTTTTTTTTTTTTGTTATTTTTTTTAATGTGGTTTTACATTTTATTGGATAAAGTAGGGAGAGAAGAAAAGAAAAAGAAGAGATACAATCTATTACTTGTGATCAACAAAGCGGAAATAGTTGGGGACGCAGAAGAGGCAGAGACCAACAATAAGCCTCTATCCAATTTCCCTTTGGTGTAATTTCCATAATGATCTTCTTCAACATGCGAAGAGGAGCCATGACACCCCATTGTACCACTGGACGTGATCCAAGGCAAAACCCTCGTCTCTTGTTCCCTAGCCGGATGCTGCTCCCTCTCCGTCGCCGGAGCCGCCTCCGTGGACGGCATAACCCAACCAACATTGTAGAATTTGAGAACATTGATATGGTTAAAGCACCTTTCTTGAACATATTAGCAGGCACTAGTATAGTTTTCTAAATTGTTATGTGCAACATGACTTGATACTAATTCCTTATATATAGCATGTGGAAAAGGTACGTTACTCATCATCATCATAATGGTCATAATGGCAGCAATTATAACGATCCTAATGCTTTTGGAATAATTCTAGTGTGGAAATAAAATAATGTTTGATGGAAATTCCTTTATTATTCTTTATTAGTTTAGGGTTGTGGTTGTCATCATTAGGAGGTGTAGGCTTATGAGTTAAGAACATATATGAAATAAGCTTAGAGGTCTAGCTATATTATTTCTTTTCTTATGAGCAATTATTATCACTTGTCTTGTCTCATGCTTTCTATATGACACTGGATGAAGCACCTTGTTTTTTTTTTTTTTTTTTTTCTTTCATTTTCTTCATCGATTACCGGACTTAGTTGATTTGAGGGCGAGCAAAATTATAAGGGTTATGTTTATCTTATTTTATATGAGATAAACAATTTTTTTACACACACAAAAAGGGTTTGGGTCTCACCACTCTTTTTTCTCTCTCCTCTTATCCGTGGGTCCCACTTATACTTTTATTTCTACAACATGAGATAATTTTTTTCTTACAACATAAAAAAATATATCTCAAATTATAAAGCAGTAAAATTTTCCCTATCAAAAGTTTAACACAATTGAATATTAAAATAATCTTTTACTAATTAATTCACGAAATTGGTAGTTTCTCATTTCTATTTAAACTTGAGAATGGTGTGAATTAGGGTTCCGCAAAAAATGAGTTAGGTTGGTTGGCAAAAATGAGTTGTCAACTCGGCTCGTTTCAACCCGTGAAAAACGAGCCAACCCGCGGGTCAAACAAGCCATCTTGCGGGTTGAGTTTTTTTTTATTATAAAAAAATAAAATAAAATATATAAAAATGGACAAAACCTACACATGTTGTCATCATTTTTCTTCTTTTTCTAAACCTAAGTCCTTAATCTTCTCACATCCCTGTCATTTTTATATTGTTAGGCTGCGCTGGCTCTGTTTGGTTAAAATATCTTACCTACTTGGTAACAAGTGGTTCTGATTGTTTCTGGATGTTGATGCAAATTTGTTGTGAAGAAAATTCGAAACTAAAATATTTTGCAACCCTTTGTTTAAGCTAATGGAAGCTATAGAGCTGGTGCATTAATACTACAGGGTCATTTAAATAAGCTGAAAACGAGCCAACCAGCGAGCCAATTTTCGAGCCAACCCGCGAGCGAATTTTCGAGCCAACCCGCGAGCCAATTTTTCAAGCCAACCCACGAGCCATATTTTGAGCCAATCTGCGAGCCAACCCTAACCTGACTAGGGTCGGGTTGAGTTAAATTTTCTGGCTCATTTTTTTTTTAAGTCAACTCTAACTCGACTCGTTTTTTTCAGATTGAGTCGGGTCGGATCGGGTTGACCCGTTTTGCCAACCCGAGTGTGAATCATGCAATTGATAAAAATTGTCACTTTATCGATTGTCTAATTGTTTTTTGAATAATGACGCTCCAGGATGATTATAAAACACTTTAATTAGATCATGGGAGAGATACTTTCAGTATAATTATATGTCTAATAAATTAATAATGAAAAATGATAAAATAATAACAGTGGTATGTGTGTAATTTTTAAACAAAATAATATCCATCGCTTTATTATGTATTTGCAGTTGTTTATAAAATTTGGGTACAAAATTAGTATGTTAACTAAACACAATTTAACAATTGAATTAGGTTAATTTTAAAAAGATTACAGTGATTTTAATTTTTAAAATAAAAATTCTTTAAATATAGTTATTTTTATAATATCGGTTTTCCTCCCAGCAGGATGTTCCTTGAGCAAACTCATTTTACCAAGTATAGACTTCGAGTTGGCAAATTGTTGGCCCAATCTAAAATTTTGCAGATAGTGCACATTTTCTTTACTTATTTTATAAATTAGAGTAAAATAATGTTGATTATAAATACTTTATTTCATTAACTTGTATTTAAAAAAAACTTAAACTAATTTATATTAATTTTAAATTAAATTTTATTTTAAATAAATGAATATTTGTTTTAAAACAATATTGAGGTAAACTTAAAAAGGAGAAAATCAATAATTATATAGTTCATAATAACATTTTCGGCCTTGCAGGCTAGTTTACTTATCATTTGGTTGGCCTAACCCACATATAAGTTATTATTTATTTGTTTTTGGTATAATCCGGAGGATATTGATAAGTCCATAAATTGTGACTTAGAGCATGTGATTTGATGATAAAATGGGAATGAATAGACTATTTTTGTTCATAACAACCTCAATTATTGCATTGAAATAATGATTTCTGATTTAGAATGTTAATGGGCTGAACTTTTATGTTTCAGGCCCAATTGGTATTATTTTCCTAAGCTAATGAAAGAAGAAAAATGGGCCAGTCATTTTGTGATCAGAAGCCCGAACATGGAGGAAGAAAGAAAAGACAAATCAGAAAAGAAAGAAAAGAAAAGAAGACAAGAAGAGAATGGGCCAGAAAAATTTAATCCATCAGCGGCCCAAAGAAGGAAAGAAAAGAGAAATCAGAAAAGAAGAAAAGAAAGAGGAGACAAAGGGACAAATCAGAAGCGTAAGATCAGAAACAAAGAAGGAAAAACAAAAAGCCCTAGCTCTCAAACCGTCCAAGAAAACCCATTTTCCTCTAGACTTTCATCTCAACCGTTCCTTTCATATTCTCCTCACCGAAACACCCTCTGATTTTCACTCAAGAAACAGAACCCTAATCCTCCATCACGATTCATTTCTCGAATCGAACCAATCCCACACAAACCCTAACCGATTCTTGGTTCAAGCAAGAAAAATCCAAAAGAGTGGATGAGCTGGAGGTTGTTAGTGGAAAAGGCTGCTTTTTGGAGTATTGCTGAATCGTACAAGGAGACACCCACGATCAAAGGGGGCGAGGAGCGTACGTTGGAGGGGACGATTTTGGAGCAGCTATAAAGGAGGGACGAAGGTTTTTTTTTGAGGCATCTATGTCTCCCTACATCTCTTCTGTTCTTGGATAATTTTTATTTTTGCTCTTTAGGTTATTTCTCATGCTACTGTTTTCTGATTTTATTTTAGTAATCTGTTTGTAAATTTTATGAGCACTTGGGTCAGGACTATCGGCTGTTGATAGTTCCTGAGTTTTTATTTCCAGTACCTTTTAAAGTTTCCGTCTTTTATTATGAACGCTTACTGTATTCTAGCTCATCAACTTGTGGTGATGAGCTAATTTTTCTGAGAGTTGGGTTGGATAAAGTACCCGGAACTCACTGTTAGTGGATGATGTTTTAATGTTTACATGGTTGTTTTCAGTTTGTTTATTGTGCATGTTTATTGCTGAGTTTGACTATGTGATAATCACACATAGTCAGCTCTTAGTGGTGTGAGGTTATTGGGAAATAACTCACATTAGACCCTATTGTGAGCACATGGAAAGTTGAGAGAAAAATTTCTCTCAATGGGTATGGCTTCAGGGATGAAGTTACCCCCATGTAACTTGTGAAAATTGTTCTTTAAGATCCTATGACAACAGTGACATAGGGATATGCCAACTGTTGTCAGTGGAAGAAAATTGTTGTTGGGAAACAACAATTACCTTAATATTTTCGTTAAGCTGAAAGCATCCTAATGACGTTTGAGTGAAAGGGAAATTGAAAACCCAACTCATTTCCAAATACTTCTCCATTCAACTTACTCCGATTATCTTGGCCTCGGAATATGGCTTGTTACCCTTCTTTGAAACAGTGGATGTGTTGAGCTTCGCTATTGTAGGAAGGATGAGAGTAATCCACCTTCCATGAGAGAGGCATGTCCTCTGGCCCTCAAAGATTTTTCAAAAATTTGTTTGAGACAAGATTTGAAGCCTGACCCAAACAAACCCGTGGAAAACGCTTGAGGGTTACATATAAGTTATTTAGGCCTATTTATACTCAACTTATTTTCACGTCTCTACTATCATTTCTTCCTTCTTCGTGTCTCCTTTTTTTTTTTTTGTAAACATTCTTCGTCTCTTTCTAAATACATATATTGGTAAGTTTTTAGTGCGGAGTCAGCAATTGTAGCATTGGATCCAATATTGCGGGACAGTGACCAAAGTGTCACGTTTGGACAAAAAAATTACCAGACTGCCACGTCAACAGTAAATTTTGCCAAAATGTCACGCGATATAATTTTGCTACACAGCGTAGCGAATTATGCATGCAAGTAATTCGCTACACAGTGTAGCGAAATATGCCACGTCAGAATGCACATAACCAAAAATGCCACATGTCAAATTTTGAGAAATTCGCTACATAGGGTAGCGAATTTCTCAAAATTTGACATGTGTTATTTTTGGTTCTGACGTAGCATATTTCGCTACACTGTGTAGCGAATTACTTGCATGCATAATTCGCTACACTGTGTAGCGAATTATGCTGCGTGGCATTTTGACAAAATTTACTGTTGGCATGGCAGTCTGGTAATTTTTTTGTCCAAACGTGACAAAATAGTCACTGTTCCCAATATTGCTAAAATTTGATCTGACCGGCAGATCTAACAGGTTGAATTGGGAACCGAATCATCAACAGGTCTGATTCGGCTATTGGATCATTCTTGAATTGGACCGATTTTAAACCCATGAATTGGTTTTAAATCAGGTTGGACCGATTTTTGGATTATTAGCACAAAATTATTTTAAGAGTGCAGTTGATAAGTATGAAACTCAATACCTAAATATGAAAAATTGTAACACTTAACAACTAAGCTACATCCACCTATTAGTTATAATACTCATGGTATGCTAATTATATATTTCTATGTAAATTCGGTTAACCGATTTAATTTGTGGCCCATGAATTCATTATTTTGACCGTGTTAATGATGAATTCAAATGTAATGACATTGATTATAGGGAATAATGGGCTGCTGTAAAAAGTATAATCGATCAGAAATGCATCCTTCGATATCGTGATCGATTGACGTGGAAATTGG